AGTTTCGGCCGACTTTAGCATGTGAAAACCCCAAAGTAAGACGTTCTTCTCTCATAAAGGAAGAATTAACGAAATTACTTATATCTACGACAAATCATTAAGTTGGATTATTATATGACATTTCTGTGTATAGGCTTTCGATCAGTCAGCTCTTCGAACAATGAAAACACTCCCAGGAATGGTTATCTCTATTGGACTCTGGACTATCCGTACAATTAGGAGCAGTTATAGCAGCTGTGGCTCACAAGGTGGAACCTGAAAGATTGGACGCAGTGGTGCATACCAGACTTCATAATTGGGATTGCGGAATTTGTAGGGTTCACATTCACGTAACTCTAGTTGGAAGTCTTCTTCCTGTCCCGGCGCACTCATTCTGGTGAGTTCACACCAGGTAGACTCGGAGGCACTGGATCTGAGTTTGACCCTTAGTACAGCTCATCAGTGGTGCATTTGACTGGCGATTTGAGCTTCAGCTGTCTAACACCCGGAAGAAGCGTGCTACCACTGCCCCACCAACGCACGCGGAATGCAGCTGAATCACCGTGTCGGAACAAGCGGACTTGTACACGTTAGAACGGTGCGATTCAGCTCATCAGTGGTGCATTTGACTGGCGACTTGAGCTTCAGCTGTCTAACACCCGAGGGAAGCGTGCTACCACTGCCATACCAACACACGCGGAATGCAGCTGAATCACGGTGTCGGAACAAGCGGACTTGTGCACGTTAGAACGGTGCGATCGGTTCGCCCGAAGGCCCGACCACCAGCCCGATAGCTATCGATCAGTTTTCTCCCTCTTGTCATGACATCTCGATCGGCTAGCGCCACGAGAGCAGCTGTTGATTGGTTGTGGTTGCTTGCAGGATTTGTGGCTGAGCTCTAATCAGAGCAAAGCTTGAGTACATTGTCTTCCCACTTTGGTGTGGATTCGCCAGGAAAAATACACCAGAACAGGAGGAATAGTAAAACGAGAGCGATGCAAATGTGAATTTCAATTGTTCTCTTGCTTAATCTCTTTCCTGAAAATATCTTCATTCTTCTGTGAAGTTAGGTGAATGCACTTTTGCCCTGAGTTGCTAAACTGCTACACGATGTCAATCCCAATTCCGTGCAAACAGCATTACAACGCGATCGAAGAGAGCGTTGTAACCGAACGGTACCACAGTAGTCGTACCAATGAGAACCACCATTCATGTATACAAAAAGCTCCTCATCACTAACAAAATTTAGTCGTGCAAATATTGGTTGTTGGTTAAAAAGACTGGGAACACATATACCGGGGGTTTCATCTCGCAATTGAATTCATCCTATTCCAAAAGGCCCAGAAGTACTGTACAGCTGTTTCATCCTCATTGGGAATCATGAGTAATTCTCTTCTCACACGACAGGAGTGATTAGAACTCGTAACTCCTGATTAACATGTGGGAAATAAAGCCGTCTGGTCTCGATTGGCCGATCAGCAGTGTGACTAAAAAAAACTCCAACTTCTTCAATCACGAGATTCGCATCACTTGTACAAGTGAAGGGCCCCCCCCCCCCCAAATGACAAGTTTTCAGATCGAAGTTTCACTCGTCTAACGAGTTATCTTTCCATCTGAGCTACTTATAACCAGTTGATAGTATGATATCTGGAAGCTGTTTCGATCCGTAAGTGAAGTCACTCTAGCAGATGTATGAGCACGAATAAATTTTGCATTTCGTGTACCCGAGGAACGTACCAAAGTCAGACACTGATGTCCAGCAATCGGGACCGGCAGATGCTTGCAAGTCAACTGCGTTAACTAAAGGTGTATCATTTGCTTTACGTCATTCGAAGAAGCTGAGTAACAGGCGAGTACGTTCTCTCTATGTCAGCACTAACTTAGGATGTTACAAAATGATTTTGAGGATCTGAAAACGAGAAAAAGTCCAAAATATCCCACGTCGCGACCAGCATTAGGCGTTTAATCAGTCTGATGCGTTCGTCTAGCTATTTAGGTCTCAAAAATCTCAAGGGCTGGGCTTAACATAGGACGACACTAGAAGTACGACAAAAACTAGAATATATGCCGAGATTGGCTGCTATTTACAACAGCAGAAGGTAGCCTGAGGACGAAAAAATAGTCAAGTTGTTTTCATAAGGGAAACTACTCAAAACTGAAAACTCTTCGACAGCCCACGACCGGTTTCGCATAATTCATTTCCAAATGAGTGTATTTCTCGAAAACAGTCCAGTTTGGGTTCAAGTAGAGCCTAAGGTTGACGGGAACTCGGGGAGTGCGCTCACCTGATGAGTCCCAAGAAGGGCAAAACCGGTCGTGGGCTGTCGAAGAGTTTTTAGCAACCTTGTGAGTAGTTCCCTTAATGAAAATATACTGCGACATCTCGAATATCGTACCAACCGTATCATGAGGCGGCCTGTGTGCAGCACATTCAGTTGTAGAATATCATAAACGAGAGATTCAGTCGAGTCTCCCGTGAAAACCAAATTGATTTGCAAATGAGTGTATTTCTCGAATATACAAGTTAGCTTGTACACCTATTACACTCACTGTTGGTTATGTTATCTTTTCTAGTAAGGCTCCGGCTCATCCATCGTTCACTTGGTCCTCAATACGGATGCTTCAGATGAATCAAAAAAGCCATTACTGATTCTGCTCCATCACAGTGGTCGTAGACGATTCACTCCAAATCAAGTGTTGCGTCAGGCGTAAATACAAAGTCCTCCCAATCATACCCAAACTGTTTTCTTTCATACCATAAAGAGTTTATCTCTGATCACGGTTTAAATATAAAGTGGGCCATAAAGGAAACATCTGAAAGAAACTGACAGGTGGTGTGTTTAGGTTTGGCACACATGAAAATGAAAATAGGAATTGAAACACGTGAAGTGATTGGCTTCATAAATGCCACTTATACCTAACCGTCTGTGGTGTTCTAGCCTGAACAGTTTTCATAAACTACATGGTACATCATGGTAGTGCTTTGACACATGTGTCCAGTGGTTGTTTAAAATGGTGGATAACAACTGACTTGATGACTGAAAGTTAAAAGTCTCAGAAATATACGGTCGAAGGAAAGAGAAATGGGCCACGGCGGGTGAATGACGAGTCGCGAAGTGTATGGCTACTCTTTAGTTATCCAGACCAAAAGGAAGACTCAGGCCTTAGTTTTGATTCAAACATTTGACCCATAACGTAGTGAAAAAAGGTAGGCCCTTCCTCCTGGGACCGGTGTACAATGTCTGATCAGTGGGTCTTGTCCACTAAGAAGCAAAACGTAGCATCAGTGTGACAATCTAATCCTCGTAAAATTGACTAAATAGTCAGCTTGTCAGTAAGGGGCTGATTTGGGTCAACGGCGCATAAAGTAGAATGTTCATCCTCGTTACCGAATTGTGGTTAGCAAAATTTTCCAAAGCCGAATCCGGATCGTCGAATGGTTTATTCTTTTTTTTTACTGTACTTTTCAGTGCTCGGTTACAAATATGAGGTGTGCACTTAAGGGACTGCGTGGATATTGAGCGGAACGTTTCTGCATTCCTTAAATTCAGTATCGCCACTTTGAGAAGTGCGAGAATTTTGGCCACCTGGAGGAAATACCTGTGTGCTTTAATGATCTTACCGTATGAGGTGGTGGGAAGTTACTTCCGTGCTAACTTGAAACAGGGTTACTAACAGTACGACGTCCCACTGGTTTCTTCTGACTATCCAAATTCGTTTTTTCATGCTGAACTTTGAGTAACGAATTCTCAGTAGAGGCTTTACTTAGGATCTCCCGACCAGCATGGTAAGACTTCAGTCAGTTCTTTGTCAACAAGGAGAAAACGACCATTGGTTTGTTGATTCAGTAGGCATGAGCATGACAAGAATAATGCACGATACCACCACAACCCGCAAGCAGAAGAACGACCTTTGCAAAATACTCCATTCTGTTTTTGCCGATCGTTCTTTGCCACTTAATACTCAGTAAATTAAGGAAAAGAGCACCGTGCATTTTCCCTTCTTGTTACTTACCACTTTGATTATGACAGAAAAAAACTTTTGTAACTGCAGTGTAAGAGTTTTGCAGTTCTTCAATGACAAGGTTTCCAACAGAGTGATCGTCTAGCGTATTCCCGGTTACGTTTTCCCTTGGAATATAATAAACACTAGTAGTGGTAATGAAAGTACAAATTTAATCTCAGGCCCCCAAAGGTCGAAGCAAAAATAAGCGACTCGCTGTGGATAGGGATTGATGTGTCTTTCAGTTTACTCCTATCAATAAATGAAATCTGTGGGATTAAAAGCGTTTTTTGAACTAGGTTGTTTATGAAAGATGACTCTATCAAACTTCTCCTTTATGATGTTTTTAAACAACTGCACAAAGATGTTTCAGCGGGAACAACATTCAAACATTGAACTACTCTCTTTGATGAAAACTACTTGGGGGCCAAACAGATCCCATGTTTAAAAGCATCCTAAGTGATTAGTCGGTTTGTAATTTCACATTCAATCAAGAAATATGATGGATAGAAATTAGAGAGCTTGGTCTGCTTGATGTAAAATGACGAAATTGGTAATGGTCTATCCAAAAGCATTCATCAACATTATTGTTGGCGCCCTATGAAAAGAGAACGGGATTTCATCCTTGATCTGGTTGAATGTTAAAATGCGGCGTATTCCTGTGGACTCGCATCAACTGGCGGTTCCACCCAATAACTTGAAAGTTGAGTGATTCACACATTCAATGAAAACAAGTTGTCTACAACAAAATTTCTATCTTTTCCCACAGAATCAACTGTGCAGTGAAATGACCTTCGTTTTTCATTGGACACGCATCAAAATAGAGCACTGTGGATACTTCTATGACAAATGCTCAATCTCAGCAAACACAGTGAATTCCCTGTATTACAGATTTCATCTGTCTACCGGGTGTCCTCTTGAACACCATCGTTCAACCGAATCCGAAACAGTCCAAGAATTAAATGTATGAGAGGGTCAGATCAACTTCCAGTCCTGTCAGATTTATTATAGCTTTACGTATGGAGCTCAACGCATTTGAGAAACAACAATCAAAGTTGAGCGAATTCCACCTGAAATCCCCACCATTCACGTTGACGGTGAACGGTTCTACCACATACCAGTCAAGTCTCAGCTCTCACAGCAGTTTCATTTGTGATAAAATGTCTGGAGGGACGGTTTCCAGGAACCGCAACAGCCATGCAACTAACACGGACTGTGACCTGTCTGCATCCAGTGATATGCATACTATGTGGCCTCAGAGTATGACCACAGCCTATATGAACAGTCCGTCGGAAATAGAAAGCTGTGACCATTGGTACCAAGACGAACGTGTACATTTTGTGCAGGTAACAGGATTTCCCATAACCGAACAGTCCTATCATGGGGATTTTCTCAGTGTGGAGACGAGACTTCGTGATATACCTTCGGACAACACATCCCAGTATTCGGTGAATAATTATTTGCTTCCCACATATGCCGAATGCCCCGGATGTTCACCCGTTTCCGCATCCATCCATCCATCCAGTCAATGTTGTTCGGATTATGAATGTTCCCAAGGCGTATGTCCCTTAACTTACACAACTGGCTGTACAAATCAGGGTTTGTGTTACCTTCCGCGTTTACCGACCCGGACAAGCAGTCGGACGTCCTCTATCGACCTGGAAGAACTCTCCAAATTCCCATCTCCGATCAGACAGTACCCACGATCTGGCACACGGCGATTCAAGTCGGCTTGTGCTCTAAAAATAGAGAAACAGCACACCCACAAATGTTTCCTCTGCTCACGTGTCTACACGCGTCCAAGTACCTTGAAAACACATCTGCGTACCCACGCTGGTTTACGTCCATATAGATGTATGTGTTGTGCTAAGCGCTTTTCTCAGTTGGCAAATCTGACGGCACATGTGAGAACCCATTCAGGTGAACGACCATTCCACTGCCCCGTCTGTCAAAAACGCTTTTCACAGAGCTCATCCGTCACAACACATCTGCGAACGCACTCGGGCGAACGTCCCTACGCATGTAACTTTTGTTCAAAGGCATTCGCCGACAGCTCTACTCTAACAAAACACATCCGAGTCCATTCGGGGGAGAAGCCCTACCGGTGCGAACAGTGCAAAATGGGATTTTCACAGTCTGGTAATTTGAAGCGACACGTGAGGGTTCACATTAATAGAGGTGATTTCTCTTTTGACGGTTTTCATCGAAACTAGTAATAAAACAACAGCTGTTTTCTTACCCAAACAAGACGTACAAAACTTAAGCGCCTGAGAAAAAAGTATATACAGTGACCACTTATGTCCATTACTGTCGTTTATCCTGATACCACACACTGTCTAGTGTTTGTTGTGTGATCCCGGTCCTTTCCACTGTTGTTTTATTGAGTAACCGTCATTTTTAACAAATTATCATAAACCAGGTTATTTGAATCCTGCCAATTCTGACTCTTTTAACTTATCGTAAATGAAATACAATCACTCATCAATATTTACTTTGAATCCACTTTGCCAAATTGTCCCATCACTTCATCAATGTCTGCTGAAGCGCTGGCAAACGTCCCTATGCTGAAGTCGTATGATTTGCGAATGCGGTGTTACCGCTTTCCGATTTCAGATGAACAACACAATGCTCCAACTCCTGGGGTGGGTTCAATTAAGATTTGCTATGATGTACCATTTACGGAGGTTGCGAAGTGAGCTAGGGCTAACATCTATAGGATCCCTCATCTCAGGGCCTCTAGTCATTGAATGGTAACTAGGGTAGCGTGAAATATTCGCTTCATCGGTGTAAAAAAAAAGCTCGCAAGGCTTACACACCGTCGTAAAAATTCTCCTAAGCCCAGCAATTACTTTGGATTGACCAAACATACCGAAAACGGAAAGATGCTCTTTTGGCTAATCAGATACTGCTTTGAAGCAGACCTCTCGATTGGATGACAACACATGTTGAAGGGATGACTTCAATGCATAGGCCTTTCCAAAAGACAGCAGCTAGTAAGTGAGGACAACTGGGGGCTGCAAGTAGAATATGGTCAAAAACGCTAGGGACTGCAAATAGCATGTTTAAGATTTTGTTACAAGTCATCACAGGGTTCCATTTTAACGGACACTTGACCAGTCAGTACTCCAAGGAACCGAAGATTGTGCTCCGTTTTGAAGGGGGCTAGCACAAGACGGTTGCTATGGCATGATCTCTATGCTGCTATTCACAACATCAAATATTTTTCTTATCACAACATGGTTTTCGTGTGGACTTCCAGTCAGCGCGATAAACGTTTGAACTGCCGACTGTTTTACTTTGTCATTTAGACGATACGGATATCCCTTTGGACAGACTACACTTCAGATAACCAAAGTGATACCTTGAAAATGTTTTCTATAGAAGAAATCCGTCTACCTGGTAAATGCAGGCACAGCTCATTGGCTGTTTCGTCAGTTCTCCAAATTTTACTTTACTGCAGCTTTTTATTACAGTATATAATGAAAACCGTTTAACTCATCACTTGGATCGTACTCAGAAACCAAAAGTACTCAGTGCCGTCGAGGGTGAGGGTATAATCAGGGGTTGAGTTGGCAATGCACTGTGGGCTCAAGCTTATTTTGCAAATGCCACGTCTAACGCCTTTGCTAGCTATAGTGTGTACGAACACAGAAACATTCCATAATCACATGATAATATAACACATGCTGGTCAAAACCTCGTTTGGTTTAGTTTATACCGAACACGTAGGGTCGGAACGACTGAGGTGACATTCTGTTCACCATGGATTAAGAGGGTCTAGTTTAGCCCTGATATGGACCTTTGTTTGCTTGGAACACGGTAGTTTTCATCTCCTCGGGAAAATGTTCCCTAGTGCAGTAGGTTCGTTAGGACCCAACAACAATGGCCATGGTCAAAGTAGAAAGCTTCTCCACAACGCCGTCAGAGCCGGCTTGTAACGCTATTACCTCAGATTTTGAGTTTCATCCCTACCAGTGAAACCGGTCATAACCGGTTTTCCCATACTTTTGTGATACTCAGATATCGGATTGCTTAAATGGCAACTAACTTGGTTTTCATTTTTGTGAGGCTTTGTAGCGCCCCATAATTTCAAAGCTTATTACCAGCACTTTCAAAAACGTACAAGCACATTTTAGGTTTCTGTCGACAAGTTTCGGTACTCCTGTCTGTTCATAGGGAGAAGTCGTTTTACTGAACGATGGGAAGAATACCTGATCGCTTGCAAAGTAGAAGTTAAGAAATAGAAAAGCAGACCATTAAGAGTATTTTCCAACTGGTAATGACCTTTCTGAAGGAGAAAAGATATAATAAGATCTTGCGAAAACTTTGCTCAAACTCGTGATGCCCTTTCGGTCACTGTTTATTTGAAAAGAAGCACGCTAGTTCTATCCAGTAGAGGTGAGTTTCACGAAATAGAACCATCTCTTATGAGGCGATGGTTTTTGTGTAGAATCACAGCGAATTACTAATTCCATTCTGGATCTGGCAAATCTGAACTCCGGCGGATGCTCTGAAGCTAGATTCGCATGACGACAAAATTCATCACGATAAACGGTCCGCTGCAGTCAACATCTGATCTCATCTGTCCTGTTGTACCGTTGTTTCAAATTGCTTTTTATAATTCAGCAACATATCAGTGTGACATCACTCCCAGTTCAAGCAGACTGAAGTTAATGCACCTCATAGCAACAAAGTAGATGTCCGAACGCACCAAACAATACTTGTCGGTATTCTATCGTATTTGTATACCCGGCTGTATAAGAGAAACAACTTGGTATCTGGAGGCTAAAACCAGACAATGTATCTCCGTGCAAAATCCGGGGCCTGAACACTCTACCGAAAGCCACCATAGTCAGACGTCGGCAAACTGACCAGGTAAATCTTCTAGCCACTACTGGTGTCCAGCAGCACATGTGTGCGTCGGAAGGAATAGGACTGTATCGCTATTACGTTCTAAAGAACAAAATTTGCGTCGACCAGGCTTTTCAGCACATGTGTGCGTCGGAAGGAATAGGATTGTATCGCGAACAAAATTTGCGTCGACCAGGCTTTCCAGCTAATGTTGTTCCCATTTTATGTTAAGACCAAGCACTGAGATTTGTGCGCTGCGCAGGATTTCACAAAAAATTAAAACGAACGGAAAAAGTTATGGAAAATAAAGACGAACGGAGAAGAGTCCGGAATATATTATTTTCTAAAAACTCCTGTCAAATGCAATCGGTACACCCGAATTTATTGCCAATATTTGGACTGCCCGTCAGTCAAATAAGGTAGGGAGACATTTTCTTGTTTATGGCCTGAATCGAGCGAAACTGAATATAAGAATCACAATTTAGTAGCTGTTATGAGCGTCCCAGTTTATCCACCAGTTCCAACCCATCAACGGCGTCGTAAACCTAACGCGTCTTGCCAAAATACTACCCTGAGGTTTTATCCGATGTCCACCAGTGACGCACTTGAAGCGTTTGGTGTTAGTAGGCTCATAGAAGTCTGCTACTTCAATAGACTACTTTAATGAAGCCTTCTGGGTGGGATATAACGCACGAAGAAAACTGCCTGTCCATTATGAGCAGCAATCGACCATTCCAGGACAGTAGACCGGAATGCTTCAAGGTCTACCGGCTTATTTCATACTTTGTCTGGAGGATTCATGCACAGATAAATAACAACTAACGAAAAAAATGAAAAAAGGATCCACATTATATCAGAATTACGTTTAGCACATTACAGCATTGGGCTCCTGTATTGTTGTAGTCCCCGACGCCGCTAAACACGTTGTAGGTGTTGCACCATTTTGGGGCGGGATCTAAAAAGCTGTTTTTTCTTTCACCCCAGTCTTCTCCGTGCATGACTACTTGTTTAGAAACTAAAGAATCATGAAAAAAACCTACCTAGGCTTCAGAATTTCCTGTACTCGTCGTGTTGCTGCCTAATTGGGAATAAGTTTGTGCTCCGGCGCGACCTACAGATATGTATTCGACGAGAACTAACATCGGAGTGTGTGTACAGCGAATCGTCAAACAGACCGGACCAATGCCGAGTTTTCTTTGCAAATCACAAATCACTTGTGTCATGCTCTAATTGATCAACAGGATCACAAGCTTCTTCGAATTTGAGAAAACAGTGATTGTTGATCAGCCGTATTTGCGGAGCTGCTCATACACTTCAGATGTGTAAAGATATGACCATCTCTGTCAGGTCGAAATCCTGTTTGGTGCGTTCGGGGTTTCAACTCACATGCCGGAGGTAAGCGTCCCAATGTAAAGCAAGCCAGTGGGCGCGAGTTGTCCACCGTTACGGTAGGAACAGTCGGTCCGTATATCTTTACCCAACTAACACCTTATACTACCATCAATGGGCCCCGATTCTCTGAAACGTGTTTTTGTACGAACAATCTAGTTGAAGCCAGACGGGAAGTTTTCCTCCCATGTTTGAACAACAGTGGACGAAGCTCGTCTGACCCAGCGGCTCGATGACATTTCAAGGTAGAAAGGCATACTGGTGAACGGGGGGAAGGCATTCAATGCAAAGTTATTCATTTGCAAACACGAACTAGGCAGTTACATGCCATTAGGCATGAAAATAAACATATAATATGCACAGAGATTTTAAAACCTGACATTCTCATGCGTCTTCTTGAACTTTTCTTAGCAATCATTGACTACTAAACAATAGCAAACGAACCCCGCAAAGAGACTCCACCATTTCCGCAACAAAATTTACCTTTCATCAGATGAGGGGGCGGAACTTGGACATCAGATCAACGGCTACTCACGTGTTTCATTAGTAGTATATTCCGTCACACTTGTACTTCATTAAATGAGGCATCAAAATCATCGACAACAGTTCATAACGAGCAAGTTCAATGAAAGCCATAGGCACAAGAACAGAGAGCCAACTGAAATCTTATTGAAAGTACTCTACCCAGCGATTTAGATGCAGTTCCTTATCACATATTAGGTTTCAGATATTTTCTCTGATTAACTGATTTAAGCAAAACCTTTACAGTCGGGTTTTGGCTGGAAGGCTTCCTAACATTCCAAGACCAACTGGCCTCTTCCAGTTCTTGAAGATCCTAGCCCACCACACCTCTCTGTCCATATGCAGGGTACGTTTCAGTTATTGTCTTGTCGACCGTCTAACTTAATTTCATTCTGACAATGACGGAGTAGAGCGTCTTGCATCCACGAGTGGTAGAAACCTTTTCCAGATCCAGTGACTCCCGCGTATGCGCTCGGAAACACTACGGTTATGAGTTCCGATGTCAAGTGTTGCATTGATTATCTCACCAATATTTACCGTTATTATCCTCCGAGGAGGCCGCTTGTAATGCACTGCATAGTCTGCTTTAGTGTGCTTCTCTTACTTGTGACTCGACGGAACTTTTCTACTGATTGACAGAAGGAGCTCGTTTCTGAAGTTCAGGGGAAATATTTTATGAGAAAATACACCCAATCAACCTGTATATTCTAAAGTGGGCGGCAGTTAAGGACTGAACTGTGACATCGGTAGCTGATGGCAATGTAATTCCAAGGATTCTCAGCAGTGCGGGAATGGCAGGTGGCACAAGGTGCATTTAAATCCAATAGTACTGAAAAACAACCGATGATCAATACAAAGTCGCGAAATACGTCCATCATTA